TTCTCATTTGTCATTAACGCTGCGACTTCTTCAAATTTTCTGCGATAATCCAGAATCATGCCTGTTTGCTTGGTGGCTATCAGCAGCTCCAAGGGACTCACTTCTTGGGTCCCGCTAAACCTTTGGGAGAGAGCTATTTTAAACTCCTGCCAATTACTTATCATTAACCTGGTTTCCATCCATTGATACCAATTGAGAGCTTCTCCCTCCATGCATAGTGCAGTGGCTGCTACCCTATGTTCTTCAACTATCAAGTTGAAAGTGAAGTAACGTTCCACCTTGAATATCCATCCATACGGGTCTTCACCGGAAAAGATAGGTAACTCCAATTTTCTCCCCTTCCATTCACGATGGTGCCAACCTTCACCCCCTTGGTTCCAAGTTTCTCCGGATGGGTCACCTTCAAAGTTTTCCCCTCCCGTAGGCACTCCTTGATTTCCTACATTCTCATGTTCATTGTGCTCAACCCTGCCACGACTCGAGTTCCCGAAATTCCTCCTTCGTTCCTCCTCTTTTTCATCCTTTTTTCGCATCCAATTTTGCATATCGATTAAAATCTCCCTCATTGTTTTCACCGTTTCAGTCACTTTAGCTACATCTTTCTCAACGTTATCTATTCTATTATCCATCCTTGTGCCAACCATGCCCTGAATCAAGCTTGGCTCTGATACCAATTTGATGGAACCAATCCAAGTAACTCAGTTACTAATGCATTCAATCAACCATTTTAGGCTACAATCAACCAAGAACAGAAGAAGGAGTGAATGTCTTGTTTAAATGGATATTTGGATTGTATTCAGTAGTTCATTACAGTGAATCAAAAAAAAAGAAAATATGACTAAAACAGAAAAAAAGAAAGATAGGCTGATCTTGAGGGTCAGCTCTCCCCACAATTCCCAACAATATTCTCAATGCCTTCTCCTCTGTGGTTCTCCTTTTATTTTATTTGTCATGCTAGCTGTGTTGTGTGTCCACCTGTCAAACAGATTCATTCACGCTTGTTGTGCCGCTGCCTACTTGTTATGCTGCGCTCCAGCTGTCCTGTATTACTCTTCCTTCTTTGCCCCTTACGGTACCACTGACTATTGGTGGTCCATCAGATTATCACAAGCATATGTTAAGATATTTATTTGTTAATTTCCTGTGTGTTTATTTATATTGAATCAGAAGCAGCAGCACTTGCAGCAACCGAAGTTGCATTTAGATTCAAGCAGGGCAACGCGCGGTTTGCATTTCACAATAGCGCCAGGACCTGCAGTGACCCCATCAGGAACCACTCCAATAACATGGTTTCTGTTTTCTCTGATGAGTACGCATTGGTAGAGAGTAGGCCATGATGAATATGGGTATGTTGTCTTGCTGATGCAGCGATGCTACCAGGGGTTAAACGAAAATGGTTGGACTGTATTTCTCTGCATGTCGTATTGAATTTGAATCTCTGATTTTGTTGTACTGAGAAACCCCTAGAAACTCAATTTTTTTTTTTTTTTTTTTTGTTTGCCTTTTTCAAGCGTACATTTCTATGGGAATGTTTGTACATAAATTATGGGTCTCACAGCTGCTGAATTTACTGTTCTTGTTGGGTCAGCACGGCTGCGCTGCTGTTTTACAGATGACTATGATTGCAAACTTTCGTGGATATTCTTATATTTACATCACACATTATAATGTAACTAAGATTTCAGCCTTCCTTCCAAGTTAATTACACATAAGAATTATCTGAGTAATTTATTTTTATGTATTATTGAGCTTACTTTAATAATTTAAATACATTTTTAATGAAGTTGAACTAAATTAGGATAGGTAGTGATTGCGTATTGATAGATGTTTCTAATGGGTCCTATAATGCAATATTGGGTTTCAACTCAAGATTATGTAGGTTCATTTGATATTAAACTTTCTCGGAATTTAATCAAAGACTACAACAATTTCTTAGTATGCTGCTTCTAGTTGTTCTAGCCAAACTGAGCTCAAGAACTGAAGAATTCCCATTTAAATAGTTGATTTTTGTAATCTGAAAGAGCTTTACAAGAATGAAATGTGTACTTGATTTAATATTTTATTCTCTTGCAGCTGCCTTGATATATATATATATATTTCTTTATCACCCCCATAACCATGTGTCGTCTTGGCTGGGACCATGGTTGTTTTTCTTGACTATAAAGCTAATTTATTTGCCAAGATTAAGGTGTTCATCTATCATGAGTTGTTGGCTTTAGATATACAGAATGATTGAGATGGAACAGCTAATCCTGAGGCTTATCCTCCAAAAAGATACCCTTATTAAAATTTTTGTTCAGCTTAGAATTGATAATGCCCAGAGGAGGCAGAGCATGATTTAGAAAGAAAATAAATGAAAGAAGAGTTTCAAAGTAAGATGTGGATTTTGAAAGCAACAACTCATATTCATTTTCTTTTGCTTTAACATGGAGATGGTGCTAAAAAAGCAAAAGCCTCCACTCTATTTAGAGCATGGAAACAGTTGTTAGTCTAGGACTATGATCGGTCCCCTTTTTCCCTTGTAACAAGACAACAACATATTCTCTCTTTTCATCTAACAAAATAAATATTATGAAAATTATACAATTTCAAGGTCACAAACTTAGAGAAAATTTTAGTAAAGCATCTGGGTTTCTTCCCTCTTTACTGTCCATGCATTAAACGTTACGAATAACTAGTAAAACCCCATTAAAGTAAGGCAAGGCTTGCTTATTTGAATTGAGAGAAAGAGATAAAATGGTCTATTGGTCTTCCTGGGTAAACGAGAAAATAAAGGAAAAACAAAATAAAGGCCTAATTTAGAGAAGGCCTGATGGGGTGTTGTTCTCTTTGAAACTTTAAATGAAGGGTTTAGAATTGGGCAATCCAAAGAAAAGCATAAAGGAAATCCATTTAGCACAAGGAACCAAGACTGTTATTTTTCGTNAGGCAAGGCTTGCTTATTTGAATTGAGAGAAAGAGATAAAATGGTCTATTGGTCTTCCTGGGTAAACGAGAAAATAAAGGAAAAACAAAATAAAGGCCTAATTTAGAGAAGGCCTGATGGGGTGTTGTTCTCTTTGAAACTTTAAATGAAGGGTTTAGAATTGGGCAATCCAAAGAAAAGCATAAAGGAAATCCATTTAGCACAAGGAACCAAGACTGTTATTTTTCGTTGCATGGAGAGAAGAGCTTGGAATTCTAAAGTTGTTTATAATAAAGCAAGTGTTTTTTTTTTTTTGGGAGGATTTTACAATTCTTCATCCTTCATCCAACATCTCTACTTTTAATGGCTTTTTTCTCACTGTTTCTGGCTAATGGCAGCTGCTTGCTTCTCAGAGCCAACCCACTAAAGTTATTCTAATCACAATCATAAAGCACTTAATTACAACATTATTATTCCTTCTATATGAATTTTGTAATTTTCCCAGTTCAAAAATTTAAGCTTCTTTATATTCCTTTCTTGTTTAATAATAACTTAGCAGTCACTGTCTTGGTGTATTTTTAATGTTTACCTTTGACACAAGAAGAGAAGGGGATGGTGGCAGAAGATGTCAGGATTGGTCGGATGGTGAGGCAAGTCGGCTAAGAGTTAGTGAGTTGAAGAGTAAACAGGATTGGTCTTTGTTTGGTAAAAAAGAGCAAGGCAAATGATAGGGAGACGTAAATGAAAAAAGATGCTTGGCTTCCCAAGGTTAGTGTTCCAACTATGCCTTTTTTGTTCAAACCTGTCAGAGTCTTCTAATGCAGCCTTTATATATATATATATATATATTGCTTCTATAGCGGGCTTATGATTGAGTTGAATCTAAAGCTTCCCTACATGTTCTGGGCCCTCCTTGTGCTTTTTACTTTTAGTCTTCCAAATCCCATAAAAGATAATCCTCAGGATTATTCCTCCACATATAACCCTGAGGAAATACCAACCTGCAATCTCAGACACACTACTCATTCTCTCATTATTACTTCAAAGCAAGAGATACCTCTGTTGGCTCCCTCTTGTTTTCTGCAATCCACAAACATGGCTCTCTTGGTTTATAGGGGTGTCATTCTTCTTGCTTGTATTGGGATTTTAGCTCTTCAACCAGACAAGGTTTCTGGCCTGAGAAGCATAGACTTTGTTCTGAGATGGGATAAAGATTTGCTGCCTTTTGTCCGAACTTCACGTATTCTAAAGGCTGTTGCTCTCAAGGATTTGCAAACAAACCCAAGTTTGGCGCCTGCTCCTTCAACGACGCTTGATCCTAATCAATCAAATAAAAGGCAAGTTCGAAAAGGATCGGATCCTATTCACAACAGATGTTAGCATGCTGAAGCTATTTTCCCTTACCATTAAGGTAAGAAAGATGTTTGCCAATGGAGGAAGGCTCAGCTAGTTTCTCTAAGTGATGAAAGGAGAAACATTCCTCTGAAGTTCATTCATTCGGGTTTATTGGAGTTCTTTGTTTCTAGTTGTTTTGATTGAAGTTTTTATTGAGCTGAAAACGGGCAGGTAAAGTGCATCTGTAAGCCAGCATCCTCTCTGTATTGTATAAACGTAGGTCCTAACCAATAGCTCAATACTTTCATCAGAGATGATGCTGGTTGTCATACTTATACAAAATATAGTGTTTGGTAATCTTCTCTATAGAAAAAGACTTGTGTACTTTTCAATTTGTGACTCTTGTTTCGGCATTTTAAAATGAAATCCTAGCAATCTCTCCCAAAATATCTACACATAACATAACGCAAGACAATGCATACACAAACATACATATGCATATGCACCATGGAGATTAAACTACAAAGTAAATGCTGGTTTCTTCACAAGAAAATTTTCCATCTTGATTTACGTAGTTCATCTCATTTGCGCCCCATAAGCATGAAGATAGTTTTCTAAAAGTGATTGTGTTTTCTATGTTGAGTTTAATTTTTTCTTCAAATGATAAGGGCTTCAAAAAACGATTAATTTGGGCAGATTATCCTTAACTGAGATCAGATTATGCCTCAACAAACAATATATTCTTCAACTACACCATCAAGAAAAGGAACGAGTAAACGAGAAACAAAGCTCTGATAGATTTTCAATAAAACTATGTCTCTCTTTCAAAATCTCACAACTCAACCAAATCATGTCAAGTCAAGAAATATATCAATCTTCAGTGAGATTTTTCATTAAAATTGCTATTTACCATAATCTGAGATCTACTGTATCTGTTCTGCCTGTGAATTTTAAATCGTATAGAAGATGCCTTATGTGAAACCGCCTGCCAAATCATGTCTACAGCATCGCCGGGCTGGGATGGATATTGATATTGAAAGTAGTGTACAATTTCCTTTAACCTTTCCCACATCTTGGTCCACTGGTCTTGCTTGATACCCCTGAGAAGATATAGAAGAAATCCTTTCTTGACAGCATCAGAGGAATTAATAGTTATGCAAAACTCTGAGTAGTCTAAGACATCTTCGTATGGTAACTCAATCTCGTCACTTATTATCACAGGAACGCAGTGGCTTGCAATTGCATCAAAGAGGCGATTTGAGGAAGGGGTATCACCTGCTATATTGAGGCAAAATTTAGATGAGGCCATGCCTTGGCCTGCAGTTTTGACCCCATCTCCTCGAATGCTTCCAAATGCAAAGTGTACATCTTTTTCATCTTTCAGAAGGTAATATAATTCCTGGCGAATGACTCCTCCCTGGGAGAAATTGAAACGTGAAACTATAATCATAGACAGGAAAGATATATGATGACAAGTATAAAGACGATAACCTCCAATAAGAAGTTTAGTTCAAGAAAAAGAGAAAAGAATGGGATATGAAATATGAATTGTTTAATTAAAAGATGGTCAGCGATGCTAAATATGCAGTGCAAAAAAACACACCCAATGAGATGAGTCCACTGTCTTTGTCATAGCATTTGTTGTTTGCATAATCTTAACAGCTGCATATTTTGCTTTAAGATGCCACCAAGACAAATGGACGATCTCATGTCAAAGTTAAAAATGCCAGATTCTAAAACTTCCCAGGATAGTGCACTAAGCCACTTACAAATTCTGTAATTGAAATCTAAAAATTAAAATCTAATTACCAATCCTATCTGTGTTGTACAAAACAGTACATTTATGTATATATACATACACATGGATCCTTTCCAATGGGTCCGGTCAGGTGCCTTATAAATACACTGGCACCAACAGGATACTCCTAACTAGTTTATCTAGAAAACACAACTGGATGGTCAAGAATAATGGAAATAATGAAGGCATCAAGTTGGATTCTTAAGTCAAAGGACTAGTCTGTCAAGAAGTCTTCAGTGTGTGCATGCATATGCTCCAGATATGTATGCTTCACATTGAGTAATTAGAAGAACAGAAATTAAGTAACACTATGATATGAGAAAGCTAAATCATTTTAGAAAGTATATCATTTCAAATCAAGGCAATAGAAGCTAGTCATTAGCTCTTTTATCACATTATCTGAAATTACAAAAAAAATATGAAATGTCTGTAGAAAAAATAAGTCACATCAGAAGTTAACGATCAGCAAATCAGGATAATTGATGCATTTTTCCACCTCTGAATATAGCATCACCTGACATAGATATGCATCTGGTAATTAATTCTTATCCCAGGTCCTAGCAAAAAGTCCAAATCAAAAGGAGAGATCTCCATTTCAAAGCAGTTCCACATCATAAAATACATTTCAATAATTTATAATAAAAAAAAAATTGCAGAACTTACATCTTTTCTGTATATTGCTCCTTGAAAATAAACTAATGTAGGACGTTTTTCAAATGGCAATGATTCACCACTGGGAATGGTCCTCACAACATGCATGTAAGGAGCGATAATATCTTTCTCAATATTTGCTATTTCCATGGGGTATCTTCCAAAATCTGCAAGCACAAACATGGCTGAACCCAACTTATTTCTTGCATCCACCATGCTATTTGGATGGTGAGCCACTATTATGTGATCGTGCCCACCCAATCTTTTCCATTCATCCTGATCTTCCAAAAACTGAACCAATTTCTTTTGCAACATCTTGTTAACATTAATCTTCTCCTTTCCATGAACCTTAGAGTGGCGGTTGTAGCTCAAAGACGAGAAGAAAGGCACGAAAATTACATCTGCTTGACTTGAATTCTTGACTCTAATTGCAGAACATGGTCTTCCAAAATTTGCTGTATTTGATGATAGAAGATCGAGAGTAAGCCAGTACTCCATACTGTGCTGTAAATTCAACCCACCTGCGTATGGTGGAATTTGACTTGGTTTGCTAACATCGGGCCATGTCTCGTTTGCCTTTCCCTTCCAACCCATTAATCCAAAGTGAAATTCAGGAGGTAACTCATACATGTACACCCTTAAAAGAGCCTGACTTCGGTCACAATTTTTTCTTTTCTGTTGTCCAAAAGAACCAATCTTTTCCTTCCCAGAACTGGATCTCTGACATGCCACCTCTCCACTATTCATTGGAGTTTTTGCCACAGATGAAAGAAAAGGCAGTTCAATTTGTTCACTCTTGATATTGGGCTTTAAGTAAACTGACGTGCGATTGAGCAGAATCAGCTTGAAAACTGATCTTGGTATAAAAGAACTACTACTGAATTCAAGAAGGAACACAGAAGAAAGGATCAAAAGGAACATGGAAATGGTTATCAAGTAGAAAAGAAACCTCGAGGGAAATATGCTCTTTTCCGACATTGATGAAGGTTAGGGAGACAAAACTCTAGTGGGTTTATGAAATTCAACAGTAACTCAATGGCCGCCAAATCCCAAATGTATCAAAGCAAGACCAAGAAAAGTTATTTTTCTAGTGGAAAAGGTTTGCAGTAGAGAACCGACACGCCCCAAGTTAATGAGCCTTAGCTTCTTTATATATCAAGAAGTAATCACTTAACTAAAGGGTTCTCAACTCTCAACTCCAATCCATTAACAAGACAAACTTAATTTTGAAATTTTCACAACACAAACAGAGAAAAACCATCTTCAGAATGAAATGATAAACCCAATTTTCTGTCCTTAAACCCTAAAGGTTCTTGAAAAAGATTTCAACTTTCAAATATTTCCGCTTGAAACACCAACAAACCCAATCAAACGTCAGAACAAATATCCCGTATTTCAAACGTTACATAAGAATTATATTAAAAAGAGCTTGTTAAAAACAGAGTCTTCATTTTCCAACTAACCATAAGCTTTTCCTCTTGTTTTCATCCTAAAAGAAACCAATCAATCAATCTGCAAAATAAAAGGAAAGACTCTTTCAAGCCCATAAAGTAGTTGGTTTTATCTATAAGTAGTAGGAATTTCACAAAATCTCCAAAATAAAAATCATCCAAATAAAAACTAAAAGCAAGCATGTAAAATAATAAGAATAAAAATATATCGTCCGGGTTCTAAAGGTACACAGTTAGCTAAAATGGGTCGAAGAGAACTAGGCAGAAGAGTACCTGACGAGCTTGGATTTTGAGATTCTATATGCTTTCTTCTGTGTCTCTTTACAGTCTGTGCAGCAACAGTAGTGAGGGAAAAAGAGAAGAATGTTTACTATTGAGCACAATCTTATAATTGCTAGTGTATATCCTCATTTTCAAAACCTTTTATTAAAATTAATTGATTATTACGCTCCACTTTTGTCTCTTGGAGAGAGCAGACTGAGATGACTTTTGATTTGTCCAAACATGAATTAATTAATTATGTATATAAGCAATTTAAATCACTTTCCCAATTCTCTAAAGTATATATTAAAAAGTAATGAAGCCCACTTGAGAAAAGTCCACTTTGTGATAGTGAAATGTCAAAGTAGCAATTCAATGGGGGATTGATTGAGCCAAATTAGAATATAATTTGGTGAATGGGACATTTTGTGTGAAACAAAAGACTTGTTTGGAATCATGAAATTAAAATGTTTTGGTGAAGAATATATTATGGTTCTATGTGTATCAATCAACATTTTTTAATTCCATTTTTGCATGAAAAACTAGAATGCAATGCACGTTCCGTTTCCTTATAATTTAAACACATCTTACTTTAAATTGTTTTTAATTTAAATAAATAAATTTTTTTTATATTGATTAAAAAAACATCAAACGCCTTTGATGGAGTTTTTTTTCTTAAAAAAATAAAATAAAATTTAAGGGGATTTATAATAAATTAAAGAGTATGTAATATATATTTAAAAAAATTGTGTGTTTAATATATAATTCACTTCACCGTGTAAACACTTTTTTTTTTTTTTTTTTATTGAATAAATATATGTAAAAATTATGAAAAATCGTGTTCGGCTAGACTAGTTATTTATTTATTGTGTTTATGATATCTTGATAACTTGAACATTTTAAGCCTATGTCACTAACAAGTATACTCATTAATGGTAACTAATACTCGAGATCTTCCTTAATCCACTAAGCACTACTACATGACCATAATAGGTAACATAATTAAGGAAGGATTCAAATAACATAACAAATAAAGTAATAAGCACAAGACAAATTAATTTAGACACTAGTCTTGTAAATCTGAAGAAGAGAAATGTGTGGTTTTGCCTTTGACTTGGACCTACAACTTCAAAAGTAGAATCATTTTTTATTTATTTATTTTTTTTTTTGGGATAATCAGGATGTTCAAGTTAGCTGCCACACACCTCAATTAATCTTCGAAGTCTATTGAACACCTTACAAGCCCAAAAGATCAGATAAATCATAATATTATTATGGTAGATGAGCTTAATGTTTGAATCCAGAAACTTAAGGAATAGATCAAACCTCCTTGATTACCCAACCAAACCCTTGGGGTTTAAAATCATTTTTTTCACCCATTAACTCATTAAAATACAGTCTTTACAACATCTTTTAAATCCAATTTTACAGTTAATTTCCTAATTAAAAAATCAATAGTTGATTACGTTAATTTATTAGCCTTTGAATGATGATGATATTAGAGGAGATCCTTAATTTACAGTTGAATTTAATTGCCTGAAGTAGGCATAGTTCCACTTTTCATTGGACAACTTCGAAAAGTTGAGATGTAGTAGAAATTAAGGGCATTCCGCGCTTCGTCTTCCAGTTGTTGTACTTGTAGCAAGGGCAAACAGCTTTGTTCCCATGGACTAGGAGGCACACACAGGCATTTGGCACAACATTTTTGACAGAAGAACATGCATGGCTTATGGTAATGTTTCTTGCTGCATCTCCTTGTGCACTCTGCACCATAACCAAAATGCTCTTTCTTTAGACATCTTATAGTTATTTACATATCTAAAACCATTGATTCATTTAATTACCATAGCTCTTTAGACTCCCAGGTTCATATCCGTTCTTCAAAAGTTTGTCAGAGTTATCAATACTTCAACTGGAAATTGAACATCATTTGATTATACAAGAAAGAAAAACTTACACTACTGTCTAGATGGTACTGGGTTTCATTTTCCATAACCTGATAATATTAAAATCAAGGAAGTTTGAGATATATAGATAGCTATATATGGATAATTAATTAACTTTGTGAGCAGCCATGGAAACGCCAAACACTAGTGCTAGACAAGCTTAGCCATTGCAATTTCTTAGGAGCCCCTGGTGCTTCGCCTTAATTGTTTGGTCCAAGATAGCGTTGGATATAAATAGATTGAAATAGGTTGAGAGCACTCATAATTGAGACGTGCCATGAAATGGGTGTGTTGATAATTGATTCATGTAATTTTTACCACTTATCAACTCTCTTCTTTACTGGGTTCATCATCTACTTGCATCCACATATACTATTTTTGTACGACTCAACACTTGGATTGAAAATTTGATATCAAACTCAACAATGGATAAACGGATGGGGAATGCAGTGGCAGATTATGATAGAAGATGGGGAAGTGCACCCATCTGAGTAACCACGAGACAAACTCTCAACACCCTCTTGTCTTCACTTGCCCCTGACCAATATTTTCTTCACAACCACTAGTTTCAATTATGTACATGTAAACTCCCAATTACTAACCAGGATTTTGTTTTATTATAATACAAGTTCTTAATTGAAGGGTTTCTTCAATTATAATTCCATTTAAATTGAGTTTTAAGTTTTTGGTTGTCAACTATATAGATCTTGTCATTTCTTAATCAACTTTTGGTTAATATAATTATATAAATTTAAAATCCTTAATGTAATCAATTAATAAAAGGTTTAAACTTATTATAGAGTAAAATAGTATTTACTACTAGAAGAGAGAGTGAATTTTTTATATGATAAGAAAGGAAAGAACACTTCACTGATGGTTATTTTTTTTTTTTTTTTTTCTGGGGCTTGGAACATTTCATTTGTTGGACTTTTAACTTTAGGCCTTATAAGTTTTTTAAGAGGGGGTGATATTGGTCCCCTTTGTAAATAGAGTGCTGTTATTTAAGTCCAACCTCAAATTAAATAAAATTTATTAAATAGATTATATTCCAAAATGTTTTGTTTATAATACCATCTAGTAATATTTAGAATATACGAGAAGAATAGTAGAGGAGAAGAAGAAGAGTGGAAGAAGATAAGGGTATATTTGGAATAATTTTTTTATAATGAATTTTAATTAAAATGAGGCTTAGAAAGAGTTTTAATGGAGCTCAAATAACACCATTAGATAAATAAACAGTTCCCACTGTTTTTTTTTTAAAGTATAAGTAAAGGGTAAATTTGCATTAAAAAATAACAACAGAAAAGAAAAAGTGTTCAATAAATATGAGTTTTATGTAGTAAGCTTTACATGTGCATTTATTTAGATAAATTTGATTGGTGGAAATGGTGGCGACATGTATTTATAATATCATGAAGCATGACCTGTTTGATTGACATATAGGAGTTTTAAAACTCTAAAATTGTTGGACTTTGATTTGTTGGAAGATTGTTTGGCATATGGCGGCATGTAATTGGTGTTTGATATTTTTTAGTATTAATGACACATATTAATAATAATATAGATTTATATTTGTTAGATGTGTTTAATCGCATAAATACAAACACTTCACTAGACCTGGGTAGGGACCGGTTCCAACCAAGTTCGGGTCTGGGCCCGATTGGGACTGAAAAATTTATTTTCACCCCCCAACTTTTTTTATATTTAAGGAGCCAAATAAAATTATATACAGGGGTTTAGTAATTTTTAGGGGCCTGGAAAATTTATTTCCATCCCGGGAGATTAGTAAAATTTTAATTAATTTTAAAAAATAATAAATAAATCAATCAATCAATGGTTAATTATAATTAATAATTATTTATAAATATGGGGTGTTTTAAATTTCAAATTTAAAGAGGTAATTTAATTAATTAATTTTAACATAAATGTAATATTTCAACAATAACACATTCACACTTTACAAATAAACAATTAAATAAATTTGTTTTTATTAAATTATTCATCGTTAACAATATTTACATCGTTTAAATCTGTGTTCCTAAAGAGTTCGAGTAGTTTTGGATCTTCAAGGTGTTGTTGTAGTCTTCTCTTTACATGAGTCCAATATCATAAACACGTTATCACTTCAATCATCTCATTGGTTAAAGTGCATCTTCTGTCTTCAACAATCCGGCCACTCGTTGAGAATGCTGGCTTGGATGCAATTGTAGAAATCGGCACAAATAAAATGTCACGTGCCATTTGGGCTGCAATAGGGAATCGAATTTGATGTTGTTTTCACTATTGAAGCACATCCATCTCACGTTTCTCATTCTTCATCATGTAGGACATGTCCATTTATAGGTAGCGATTCAGCTCATTTGGTCAATGTATATATGAGCTGGAGCTACTACTTCTGCCATATTCCATATACGTGCACATGCTCGGTCCTTGATAGATGTCTTCATCAGGTTTATGCTGGTCGTTTCTGTTGGATGTTCCAGTTCCACTTATATTGTACCTGCTCTGATATAAAGAAAAAAGGTTTTCTAATTTTTGCTTAAAGTTAATCAAATAATATGTATAATCATGTCCTAAATGCTGGCCTATCTCAGAATTATACAATTAACTACGTGTAATTTAAACCTAAGATCTACAACAAGGCCTAATCCATATAAGAGTGGAATATCTAACCAATATTTCTCGTATTTTTTTTCCATCTTTGAAACAATTTCTATTAAGATGTCATTATATCTATATTTAGCAAAAGTTTTAGAAGTTTGAAGTAAAATATCTAACGCTAAATTAGTTGTACGATAATAAACACCACTTAATGTATTAGTGGATTCATAAAAAACTTTAAGAAATGAATAAAAAGTTCACAAACTGTCCAATCATCATAGCTGACAACTTCTTGCAGATGGTTCCTCTGATTGATGAAATCTGTAATTTGTCTTGCGGTTGACAAAGTTTTTCCAACATCAAGTAGGTGGAGTTCCAACAGATAGGCATGGTCGTACATAACTTCAAAGGTCGAACCGGTGGGTCCTATTGCTTATAATATTTGACATACTCCTGCCATCTTTTGTTGCTACCGCCGACGATAAATCCGATAGCCGCGCACACCCTCTCAATCTTCGAATTTATAGCTTCTAAACCTGCTTTAACAATTAAATTGGTGATGTGGCAAACACATCTGTGGTGAAAAGAATTGCCTTCACCACGCAGATCCAATCTCTTTTCAAATAAAGAGATAGCCAT